GCAGGGAAAAAACTAACACCACAATACGATCAGACAGAGAGGAGTGCCTTCTGTGGTACAGACAATGAATAACTTTAAATATGCACCTTTTTTTGTTGTCTTGCATTACTAACCCTGCTTATTAAGCCTAAACGTCCACAGATATTCATTGATAAGTATTGGAAATCCACAACTCCTGCTTTTTAAAAAAGGAACTGGACCACTAGCTGCCATGAATGGGAGCAGACTGGTTCTTAAACATTTTTGGCGCACATCTAACATCTCAAAACCAATGATTGAAATATTAATAGGCAGCTAGAGTTTAACTCAGATGGTGAAAAGTTCCAGTTACGTTGTGTAGAAGTGTATGACTTACCTGTGCCAGGTGCCAGATGGATGACATGTTATTGATGGTTTCCAGGGCAGCGATGGCTTCCTCCGTCTTGCCTTCGATGTCGAGAAGAACCGCATATGCTATCTGGGCTTCCTCCTCATAACCCCTAACAGAAGAAATCTGGGAAGGAATACGGACATGTATGAATGTATGGAACATTTACTAGTATCATAGGTAATTGAAACTAATTGAAAGAGGACAAAAACCTGTAAAGCTGTGACCCATGTAACAACTATTAGGTTCTTAAATCATACTTATAAATTAATTAGAAACTAATAATTTCACATAAGAAAATAAAAATAAAATTACTGCTTACTCAAGGTAAAAGGTTCAAAGATATTTATCATCAAAATGTCCTATAATAAAATAATAAGAGCACCATGAGAATAGTATTAACCTGAATATCTTTGGAGTGAAAGTGCATGAAGAGGGGATCAAGTGGTTCTGGTATACTGCGTCTGTTTCTGATCTTTTCCAACAGTGGATGTACAAATTTCCAGTAGTGGACACTGCGGCCGATGTACTCCTTCTGGTCGTAGTACGAGTTCACTCCATCACCCTGGGGTTATTAAAACATACACAAACAGCTGAACATCAAAGAGAAACTAACCTAACTAACTAACTTTTCAGAGAAGTTTCCTTCAGTTGTTACAAATTCTACCATAAAACAAACTGACCCAGTCAGAGAAGAAGTACACGTGGCTGTTTGGACATCTTTATCACATTCAACAGACAGAAAGCAGCAGGTGGGTCTGTGCAGGATCTGGCAAGGTGCTGAGTTATGCAAGTGCTAATTTTCTGGCCGTGTTGCTTGTCTGTATGCGCACGGCTGCCACTCACAAATGATCTGGTCTCCTTTCTAGCTGACCGTCTTAGTAGAGTTAAAGATATATTGATGTTCATGCCTCACATACACCTTGTTGTCCTTTATGACAGCACTCTAATGCGTTCATCCTGATACTGCATAATAATCTATCACAGCAAGAACTTGTGCACTGTAACTTTACAATTTTAGTTTAATTAAAATTAGTTTAATGAGTGAATCTGAGTAAAGATATAGTCAAATAACTGTATCAGAGTTAAAAATCTCTCAAACTTCATCTGCTAGTCAAGCAGTGTGTGTGTGTGTGTACCGTCTGGCTGAGACACTGAGCCCAGTGGATGGCCAGCGCTGGTTGGAGTCCATTTTTCTCTCCAGCCCTCAGAGTATTCAGTCCATGCTGCACAATCATCCGCAGTTTGGCTGACATGCCAGGACTACAAGGACGCAGAAAATATTTACAGTAAAATTAGCAAGTACTATGTTTAGGGCCGCAGTTGGGCCGGCACCCAGTTCCTCTTTTAAAAATGTTTGTGCCCACACATTACTGGTATATTGATTTTGAGTCATTTTTGGGGAAAATGTTGAGACAAAATTAAGTCTATCCATCAAAAACTGCTACAACACGGTCAATGAGAGTTAATATTTAATGCTTAATTATGAAATTTAAAATCAAATGTTCCCCTCTCTAGACTGTGAGCCAGTCTATATTTACATAATGCACTCTAATGCCATTGTGTGCTGTCTCAATAGGTGAATATCTGTTAATTAGTCAACAGCAGAAATCACCACGAGTCTTATCCACGGCGAACCAACCTCGAAATGTGCTTTATTTTGAAATATCTAGATATTAATAGCTAGAAGGTGTTTAATAAATAAAATTAAATTAAACAAAACGGTAACCAACCCAGTCAGATGTGGACAAAACTAACTGGCAGAATCTTTTTAACAGCTTTTATTTGACTAAACATACTCTTCTATACGTTTTGTTTTTAATTAACTCACGCTGCCTGTTTGTGAATGAGGCTGTAGATGGCGTCCCACCACTCTCTCTGCCTGTCAGTGGTCAGGAGGCGGAGGAGGGGAACAGGGAGGCAGCGAGGCTCATAGAGCTGCTGTTGCTGCTGCTGGTTCGCTCCACTGCTGATCTTCGCCGTCTCCTGGAGCTGACAGTGGCTACAGAACACCACCCCGCATAAAAACACCTGGATGGAGTAAAACCAGACAAGAGGCAGAGAGACTTTTACGTTTTTGAAGACGAAACGAGAACTAAGCAGCAAAAGTCATTCACAAATGTAGCATTCGACTACCAAACAGTTTCAGGGGTTATTATGTATACATGACGCATTTTCCTGCTATAAATACATATTTCACACCTATGAATGGATCATTAAATGTCCCTTTCATCTATTTCATATGTGCTGACCATTTGAAAAGCTGCTTCATCTTGTGTTATGAGGATCCACCAAACCAGCCCACGTGATTCCACCTACCTCCAGGTCCAGCAGGCAGATGGACTCTGGTGCGTTGGTGTCCAGTTTGGAGGTTTCCAGAGTAAGCCTGGGAAAGAGCTGCTGCAGCCAGTCCCGCAGGGCCGGTCTTTGGGCCAGAAGGGTCCACTGCAGTCCCAGCCAGCTTAGGTGTTGTAAGTCACCACCGTGCCGCAGGATGGAGCCTACGGAGGAGGCAACAGAGTTATTACAGTGTAAGGAGAACCTAAAATGTCACTATGGTTGCAGAAAAATGCCAATTTTGTATGTTATTTACAAAATATTATTAGCCCTCCTGAGTAAACAGCACTGTCCTGTGCTTTCAGATTAGATTCTGTAGACTACAACATGTTTAAAAAAGCCTTAACATATATGGGCTTTAACTAAATGACACTAAACTGGTTCTAAAGTGTCGACCTGTTGACTCGCAGCCTCATTTAATATAAAAGAAGTTTTCTTCAAAGCCCCTGTTTTAATTTCTATGTTTATAAATGATTTACATCTTAGAGTTCATTTAAGGATACATACATACATCTACTAGAGGGGCAAGAACAGTTTACACACAAACATAACTGATACAAATAAAAATTTGAAAAACAGAAACCAAACAAAATAAATATAAACTGAAGAGATTCACTCGTACCAGCATCCCATTTGGCCAGCTGAGAGAGCTCTGGAGCCGTGGTCGTAATGGAACGAATGTCATCGTTGGCAATAAAGGAAGATCCAGTGGAGGCTTGTGGTCCAAACAGGAGTTCAAACAGAGAATCCTGACCGCTACGGTTCCCAAACGCCTCCACCACCTACGCACAGAAAACATGAAGTGATTAAACCCGTCTCAGTCTGTCTGTGTCCGACACTGTGCGATGGATATGATGCAGAAATGAGTCATGTTCATGTGTAAAAACGGAGCAATAGTGCTTTGATCATGGTTGTAAAGTCTCAGTTCCACAAATCTTTACACAAAATTAAATGAATCCAATCAGTTTATTACATTTCCCCTTCGATTCAGAACACAGACAGACCTCTCTGATCAAGGTGGTTGAATCCGTGCTCAGATTGAGCAACATGTGGCCGGCCTGACTCTGTCGGTCATTGGCCAGCAGCTCCAGAAGCTGTGGGGCTGACTGGTCTCTTTTGGTCACTTTAGCCTTTGGTCTGGGGACCTGATGGAAGAACAAACAAAACAAACTAGATTCAAAACTTCCCGCCTGTGGCTCTCAAACAACGTCTGTAAAGAGTAAATACTGCATTACTTGTCTTGTAAAACCTTTAAAAAGTGAAAAGTTCAGCGTTTATTATTCATCTTAACGCTACATTGATCCTGAGTAAGTTTGTAGCAAAGAGTGAAGAGAAGTCAAGCAAAAAAAAAAAATAGTTTTGGTAAATAAAACACCAGATTTTTGACTTTTTCAAGACAATAAACAGCTTGAATATAAAAGAAAAGCCTTATTCCTGACAGGTGGTTGGTGTGTGTGTGTGTGTGTGTCTACCTGGTACGCCAGCAGGTAGCACAGTGCAGCCAGGTCAATGACGGCCCTCCACGTGTGTTGGCGATCCTGAGCCAGCTTCAACAGCAGAGTGGCAGCATGCATGTAAAGGTGACCTCTCATCTCCACAAACACCTCACAAAGATCGTCTGAGTGGCGACAAGCAACGCTGCTCAGTGTCTGCATAGCTTCGTCAAATCTACACATATAAAAAAAACAAAAAAACAACACACGTTAATATACAGCTCAGTTGTGAAGATAAATAGTTGCCTGGAAAGTTGGAAACACATTTAAAATGAATGTTTAATGTCTTTTGTAAGTACAGAAACTTACTGACTTGTGACCAGGATGCTAAGAAGCTAAGGCTCGAGGGATAGAGCTCCAAAATCCAAAAATTATCATAAAGTAGACTTTAAAAAAGGTCCAGTGTGCAACATTTAGGAAGATCTATTGGCAGAAATTGAATATAATATTCACAGGTATGTTTTAATTAGTGTTTAATCATCTGAAAATAAGAACTGTTGTGGTTTTGTTACCCTAGAGTGAACGTTTTTAGTCTTAGTTTAAAAGGCTGAGCTACATTCAAATGGCTGCAATCTGCATCTTCACCACTAGATGCCACTAAATCCCACACACACACTGATCCTTTAAGAATTAGATTTGCTTTCATGGATACAGCTCATCTATAAAATATGTACACAAACACTGCAGGAGCTCAACATGACCCACCCTCTGAGGGCAGCGAGGCTGGGCTGCATGCTGCTCTCCGACAGTGTGATTCTCAGCAGGTTGCAGTGGGCCAGTAGCAGCTCCCTCTGGAGACGCCGACACATCTTCTCATTACTAGAGACGCTGGGCTGAGCTAGATACTCCTGCAACACAAAGGTCATCCAGTTTTTAGACTCATTTTCAAGTTAAAGGTTACATTTAAAAGCTATGAAATACAACACGACAGCACAGAAGCTTTTAATAATGCAGCGGCGCGAGTAAAGTGGACTCAAACGTAAAGGGTATTTAAGACAACACGTAGAGGCGGTTCTGTGCCCCCCCGGGGCGGTCGGGGCAGTCTTCCTCGCACCGACCGGGATGGCTAACGTTAGCTCAACGTTAACCTCTTTGAGTGAGGGAGAACGAGCTCTGGACGGTTGAGACGTAACGAGTCCACTTCAGCCTTACTCGCCGCAATCGCCTTCAACCAACGGCTCCTCGCAGGAAGTTGTTTTCCGAGCGACGTCACCAAAAAGGCGGTTGTGTGTGAAAGCAAAACAGAATAAAGTTGACATTAATTTACTTATCTGCTCGGCGTTAACT